GGGCACACCTAGGCCTCTCGGCTTTCTCTGCGCCTTTATCAGGAGGTTTGGAATTTCGACAGTGAGACCAGAAAGGAAAAGGAAACTGGGTTAATGTGTGGCTTTTCCCGATTAAAAAGTACTCCCAGAGACAAACGAATTGCTTATCTCGGTTACCTTCTCTAGTACTTAGTTGCAGACAGGGAAGGTAATTTGGTACAGACAGCCTGGCAACTGTAAGTAAGAAAATCGTAATTCAGAGTTAAATAATGTATATACTAAAGAAAAGCCGAGTTATCCTAGTTAGCCTTGCTTTTAGAGAAGCGCGAGCGTATTCACAGTTGTAAAGGAAGCTGAGTCTTGCAAGCCGGTTTCCGCCATTCCTGAGACAGCAGAGCCAGCCTCGTAGGCACTTCCCTGTTTCCACTCTCTTCCTAAAGAGAACTCTTCCACAGGCTACGGGCCAAGTGTACTTGGGCCACCTCAGATTTTAAAGCTCACCGTTTCCTACACGGAAAGGTAGATTTTTTTTCCCCTGTATGTTTAAAAAACTTGATCTGTGTAACAGATGTTTTTATAACATAAATACATAAAAAAATGATTTCTGTTCTAAAAGTATACGTAACAGGATTCTTCCCTACTCTGAATTAACTGACCTTCGTTAAGTCTTAATAGGATCAAAGGACCTACTCAAAAAGGTGAAGGAATAACAGTCCCTAAATTTCTAGTCCAAAACCTCTGTTGGTTTGGGAGTTCTGTTACGAAGGAGATTTTCTTCTTTAACAGTAAATACTGTATTCTATTTTGAAAAGTAGGATTTTAGCTTAACTGTATACTTTGAATGATATGATGCTGGCAACTTGCAAAGACATTTCTATTCTTAGGATTTATTGAGATCAGAGAAATCTGATAAATCTGTGTAGAAGGCACTAATTCTCTAGATGCTGTGGGTGATTTAAAAAAAAAGGCTTATTATCTGCTCCTAAAGTGCCAGGAGACCACATATAAAGAAAGGTAGACCACGTAAAGAGGCAAGTAATACAGGACAGCTTTTGACGAGTCCAAAATAAGCTGTGCAGCTAGTTAAGGGCTACATGAGTTAAGGAGAGGTAACCACTTCTGTAGTTTCCGAGCTGAGGGGAGGGCGGGAAGACGAGGGAAGAGGTGACGAGATGCCGTTTCAGTGCCTTGAAGGCCGTGTTCTGTTTTCGTAGGTCTGAGCAAGGGAAAAGCACAAGCCTTTCCCAAAGGAGCCCGAGGAGAGAACTCAGTGTGAGGTCACAGGCTGTGGGTGAAGACAGAGCAGCAGAGGGTTTTATGCAGCAGGTAAGAAAGAACGAAAGTTATGTTGTAAGGTGGTGTTTAAGATGGTTGAAGGAAGGCTGGAACATAATGCAAAAATCATAGTCAGGTATCTAGAAGTCTGCCTAAGGCAGAGGCAGTGGGAAAGGAAAAGCATACATGCAAGGGGCGACTTATGCAGTTAGTCAGAGATGCCTACGATTTCAAACTTAGGAGAGGCACCTACTAGTGCAAATACAGAAGTACAGGAAAAGCTCTGAAAGAACATTCTGCGTTTCATTTTAGACATACTGGTCTGAGGTGGCAGAAAAACATGCAGATAAAAATATTGAGCTAGTACTTGGAAGTGTTGGACACGGACTTGGAAGAGGTCAGAGGGTGGATTTACACTGGGGAGTCAGAGACACAGGGACCAGAGAGGAGGCTCTGGGAGTGAAAGAGATGTGTGCTGAAGAGCTGCAAAAAAGAGGTCCAAATCTAACTTTGGAGAAACGCCAAGGAAAAAGAATTTTACAAAAGGAACAGCCAAAAGGAAAGAAGCAAAGCAAGATGCCAAGGGAAGAAAGGTGTTAATTATGGCAAAAAGGTTAAGAAGGGTGAGAAAAGATTCATGGATTTAGTGATCACAAGTTTAATGAAGACCTCAAGTGTGCTCATTCAGTGGAATAAAGAGATGAGGAACCACAAAGGCTGAAGAGTGAATAGAGCAGAATGATAGTGCGCATAGACAACAATGGCAAATAATCTATAAAAACCAATTTCCTAAGGTTTGCAGGACAGTGTTACTTCTTGTAGGAAGGCCCAAAGCTGCCCTTCTACAAACACCAATGTGTTTTGCATTCAGTTAATGTTAATAACTGAATGTTAACAATTTGTCTTTCTGCTTTGAGACTTTTGAAAAAAGGCGATTGGTTATGTTTCGTCATCTGTTCTATTACCCGGTCACACCCGGGCCGTAGGAGGGGCTGGCTGTTTGTGGTGGACAGTTCAGGTCTATACAGCATCTACGTGGAAGCACCGTAGTGACAGACCATGGAACCCACTTCTCTAATTTTATAGGTAAGAACACTGATCTGCCTAAGCCCTCAGGCCTGGTAAGAACCCAGGAGTCTGGTTCAGTTAGTTTCATCCGTTAAAAAGTGGCTGCCAGCGCTTCACAGCCACTGAGTTTCGTGAGGGAATAAAGGACTTTCGCAGAGTGGGAGTCAGGAAAGAAGCTGCCAGGACGTTCTCACGGGCCTCGGTCCTGATGTCTTTCTCCAAACTTTTTCTATTTAGTTCTGATAGAGGAATGGCCAACACAATGAGGGGAAAGGCTCTCTCTCATTTCTTTCCTTCAGTGAGGATCCAAGGGGTAAAGGCAGAAGTCTTTATATGTGAAAATAGAAAGCCCACAAGAGCCAAGTAGCGTCTAACGGGGATAGTCCCAGTATGAAAGCCCCAGCTCACCAGACCTAGAATCTTAGGTTCATTCTGGACGTTCAGGAGCTAACTATCATGTAGACAGTGGCAGAGAGCATCCATCAAAGCAGCGAGGCACGTGGGTGCTCAGTTAGTGCTCTGAGTGATGAGCCCGCAAGAATCCAGACTCGAACGATGCTCCACAAACTCCCAGGGCTGAAAAAGTCCTTTGTGATCACTAACTCATCCACCTCAGTGTTTTCTGGAGGAAACCAGCCAGCGGTGTAGACGAGAGGGAAACATGAGTCTGTCCGCTGTGCTGGGCGCTTCCTGCACGTTACCTTAGTTAACCAACTCCATGAAGTCTGTACTGTTACCTTCATTTTACATACAGATGGAGGAAGTCAGGACTCAGAGGTTTAGGAAACTTGTCGGGAGATGGAGCGCCGTCAGCGCGGGTCTGCGGCTCAGGGCTCAGGCTGCGTGGCCGTCGTTCTGAGTCAGGAGCAGAGCTGGGCTTGAAACCCGAGTTTCCTAGTCCCAGGCTACTTTTGCTAAATAATTGCCAACATTTTACAGAGAAGGAAACCATAAAAACAGTGGAAAGGTCACCTGCCTCATAAGAGGGTAAATAAAAACGATAATAATAGGACAGTTCCAGCTGCTTAAGTCTTAGAAGCGTTCCCATTTCATCAGATGGTTTACATTAATGAGCATGTTACTATCAGCAACTCTTTTTGTGACTGTCTATACCTGGCATAATTGAGGCACAGGTTGGTTAAGTGTCTTTTCTTTGTGCAGGAAACCTGGTATTTATAAACTTAAAAATTTAACTGAGTTATTTAAAAATAATAATGCAGCTTTGTTAAAGATGCAAGTTTTTGGTAAAATTACTGGTTTCCCAAGACTTGGTTTAGTTATAGCCTCTGTTCTTCTGTATGTGTGGAGCCTTCAGTGCTTTCTTCCTTGAAATATGAATAACGTAAAGAGAAAGGTAAGTTTCCTTTCTCTTTACGAAAAAGGACTAGTAGCCTGCTTACCTTTGTTTTCCCTTTTAATGTGAAATTAGATTTCTGAAATTTAGAAATAAATTCGAACTGAAGAGTAACTATTACTTTTTTTGGTTTCGATATTATTTGTTTTTGTTTACTTTCATCTGAAACAATATCAGCAACTGAAAATTACAATAGGAAAATTATGGGTAAAGGAAACACAAAAATCTTAGCTCTCTGCTGCCCTCTGCAAGAGACATTGTGAAATGCCATGTTTTTCAGTTTGTTTTTTTCCCATGTTAGATGTCAGTAAAATTTTTATCTGCGGCCCTTGTGTAACTCGCATGTTTTATATTACTAAATTAAATACAGATTTAAATAACACACAAGTATATAAAAAGATTCCACAGTTCACAAGAAATACTTTAAGGACTTTTTTCTAAATATAAAAAACTATGTTCCACTTTAAAACTCTAGAGCTCAAGATTATAAATAACTACTATGTAATCTCACCAAAAATAGGCTACTTAAAACCAATCTTCAAATATTACTAAAAAAGGAAACACTGATTGAAATACTAATAAAATGGAACTCCTGGAAAACCAGAGTTCCAGGATATCTGGTAATGAGTTAAAAACAACACCCCAAAAGGCAGCTACACTTGACGAGTATAAGAGAAGTTAGTAATGAAGTTGTATGTAGATCTGAGTTTTAAAAATCATTTGGATTAAAATTTTGAGTACATCCAAGATTTACTAAGAATATTTTGGGAAAAGATCAACTCAGATCAGTTAAATACTATTAGAAAAACTATAAACAGAATAGCAGGTAGGCTAAGAAGTTTGGTATTATGAAAACCATGGTTCTTTTTGCAATCATAACACAAATAGCAAATAAAATTGGGTACTGGTGCTGTTAGTGGTGACTTTTTATCTCAAGGACACAGGGTGACAACTGCCAGTATCATGTAAGATCACTTATGCGTATTTAACAGAATGCTGAGTGGGATTTCCTCCCGAAACTCAGCTAAGGCCAGACCCTGGGGACCAGTGATACTGTGCCTCGTGCCCAGCCTCGTGCCCGGCCTCCTGTTTTCTCAGCCCACTTCTGACTCCAGTTGCTGCTTGGCAACCAGCTCCACGACAGCACCTGGCCTCGCTGAACCGTGCATCTCCTGCTTTCCACCTGGGCTTCTCGGATGCTGGAGTGTGGCATTTACACAAGTGGCCTGCAAGTGTGAGGGACTAA